CAGAGTCCCTGGTTTGAATCCTGCCAGTGGCATGATTGTGATTTTATGCCGTAAATACTCATTGTTCTCCCCCCTCCTCCTTGGGCCGGCTCTCCATTCGTGTGAAGCATCTGGGCCGTGCAAGATGATTCTCAACATTGTGACGTAACTTGTTGACAGGTAAAAAAAAGACAAACTTATCCCTGTGCTTAATTAATTAAACACCGCGCCATGAAGACGTGTGGGGGAGTGGAGGTATAGCTCCATATTCCTTATCATTGGCACTGGGGTCAGCTTCACGTCCCAGTCGTTTTATCTCGAATGAAGCATTTCTCATTACCCATTGTGTGGGTCGAGGCCAGATGGGCTCCATATTCGGTATGGACGTTATGGAGTCGTGAAGAATGTCTTACCCCTGCCTGGAATCGAACCGCGAATCCTCGATCGTCCAGCCCATAACGTAGTCGCTATACTGACTGGATTTTCTCTGTTCGGTGTAACTCATTAACACGGGAGAATGTTACCTGTGCTGACTTGGATCATAATCTTGCAGACGGTTTCAGACATTTTCGGAATTGGTAAATTGTTATTATGGATTTCGACTCAAGTGACTCTGCTTATCCCACAGATCGCGGGGGATAGAGTTCGATAACGTGTTAGTGTACTTGAGATTTACGGTGGACAGACTGGCAAGGGGACATGTATTTTCCCAGGTACTTTTGGTTTTCCCCACGCTGTCATCTCACATGAGCTGTGCAACAGGTGTATCAGCCCAAACGCTGTCATAATTTCTGCCCCGAGTTTGGGCTTCGTTTTTTCCCGGCACGTGGAAGTTTATTATAGTTCGATTTAGTTCAGATGCAGCCACTCTGTACATGAGATGACGTCGCCTTGTGCTCTAGTAGCAATAGCAGGCGATAAGATTTAACTGAGCTTCAACTTTGCTTAGTGTTAAATGAGATGTGATGTTTTGGCCGTCGTTCCAATGTTTCACCTTTTGCTTCCTGCAGTAGCCACAGGTCAGTTGGGTCTGAGCCAGCGTTCTTACCCATTTCTCCCTAAATGTTTGCTCCTAGTAGGAGACAGTAATGAATTGTAACGTGTTCGCCCTGGATTAGATGTTCATGCAGGAAAACTTCGGGCACGCGGTATTGTAGTTGGGTGATGAAGTGGATTTTTTCAATGTAACATCCTTCCAGCCGCATTATGGCCGCGGAGTTGAGTCAGCCTCTAAAAAAATGAGTACCAGGAATATTCCTGGGGGGTAAAGGGCGACCGGTGCGTAAGGCTGATAACCTTACCGCCATCTGTGAGCCTGTTGTCTAGAGAAAATATAGGAGCCTCAACGTCTCACAATCCTATGAGCCTTCACACGGACAGCTTTACCTCTACAAGAAAACGTGGATCTTACCGACCAAATGGGATTCCGCTTGATTTAAAGGGAGTTTTCCTACCGTGTGACTTTGTGTTTTATTTCTATGTTCGCCCATTACAACAGGCGCCTCGGTTTTGTTAGAAGGGAACCCACCTCTTCTTCTGCATCATCTGCTCTTCTTAAATATGTTCACATCCTTTTAATATATCTCAGTACCCGTACTCAACGTTGTGAAAGCGAACAGGGTGAAGGGAGAGTTTAATTTCTTGTTTTTTTTTATTGTTCCTCTTGTCTATTATTTAGGATATACAACAGTTTTCTTCTTCCACACTCATGTCAAAGTGCAGGCTACTGAGCTTGCTCATGTCCCGGAATACGTCCTGTCTCCTGGTGTGACCCCATGATTTACAACCGCCATTCACTTCAATACAAACTTCTTGTGTGCACGCCGTTACTCGCAAAGAATGCCAAAATCGCCGGTCTGCAAGTACGTGGTAGTTATTAAGAGCACAAAAAGTCTTTCTGAGATGGATAAGAGAAAAGTTCGACAGGTAATCGTGCGAAGACCAGTCATAGTGAAAGGACCAATGTTTCGTAAGATTGTGAAGTCGTAATTATTCGTTGTTTTCTGTTATGACGTCATCTGGTCGACATAACACGTGAGTAACTTTTTTCCCACGATCACAGAACCTAAAAAACATTGCGTTGGACATACAGGGCGTGCATATCTCGTCGTTTAAATTGGAAGAAGCTCGCCCACGATTGGCTGTTTCTCCCTTATCAGACAACAAACTGACCGGTTTGATGAAAAGAGCAGTTGCATCCGAGGTTGCCATAGTGTACATCATACTGCAAACAAGCGCCTATTAGTGACGTTCACACAGATATTTTTTTTGTTACTTAAATAGCCTTCAGAATTACAGTATTCTATAAGCTACTGTGATAACATTGGGCCAATAAACCCACCTATGACAGGATGAGGATCCTTCCACCGAAAGAGCCTGTTTTTCACTTGAGGTCAGTTGGAAGACGTCTTTTCAATCGTCTGTTTTTGGGTTCTTCCAGTAGCGGCTGCATCAGTGGATTGATGTGCGTCTCTAGTCGATCATGGTTTCTGCTGCTACGCTCTTGGATTACATTAGAGATGACTGAGATGCCTAGGTCGTGGTGAAGAGTGTCGTTCGATACATACCATGGTGCATCTGTCATTACTCGAAATATTTTGGACTGGGATCTTTGGATGATGGCGATACTGGACTTACTGGCACAGCCCCATAGCTCAGTCCCATAGGTCCATATGGGCTTTATCACAGTATTGTATGTCAGGATTCACTGAGATGTGCATGGGCAATATGTCTTCTGGGTAGGTCACTTTTAGCAGTGTTTGTATATTTTATTGCTTGACTTACTCATCGGCCCTGAAGATGGAAGCAGTTTTATTTTTCTGAAACGTCAGTAAACTTATACCAGACCACACGGCGTCACATTCCAGAAGACAATACCTTTCGGCGTTATAGAAGGTTATCAGCTCCATCCAGTGTGACTGATAAATGTTTTTTTTTTTTTAATCTTTCACCGTTGACATGTTTCGGTCTGCGAGACCATCTTCAGAAGGATATCTCAGTACAGGGGGAAACTACTATTACAGTGTGATTGGTCAGTATCAATACATGCATACAATATCATTAGAATGCCATGAATATAAAAACTCATCCTTTTACAATTACAGCGATGTACCTGAGTATATTAAAATATTTCTAAATTATTATAATTAGTTTATTTACAAGTTTGGTTAAAATAGAATTTGTTAAAAGTTANGGGAAGCCGGGATCGTAGGTTCGAATCCCAAACAAGACATGGATGTTGGTGTGTGTGTTTATTCTGTGTATGTGTTGTCCTGTGTTTAAGTAGAGGCCTTGCGAAAGCTGATCCCCCATCCAAGGAGTCCTACCGTTTGTAAAATGACCAAAATGAAAAACACAACCTCGACACCGTAAAGGTATAATAGGAACGGATTAAGTAATTAAGAAAGATTTAATGACATCATCAGGTACGTATATAATAGGTACGTGTCATAAGCCTGTGACTAGAAATTTGACGACAGGCGCCTACGTACATCTTTATTGTACGCTTCCCGTTGTGTATCACTAAGTGGTGTTATTCTGTGGCCGTCAGCACAACAGTCTGCAAGTAAATAAACCAATATCACTGCACTAACATTTGTTTATTATTCTGTATTTGCTGCATGTTTCGGTCTAGCTGGATCATCATCAAGCAGTTTTCTTGATACATCTCTCGTTGTTGGATTGTGTCCGAATATGGGTCCGTGTTAGTACTTGTATTGATATAAGTAACGTTAAAACCATTTTGTATGAGTCTCATATTACTAATTTGGTATTGTAAATTACGTCTTAAGGGTTAAAACGTAAAAACATTGTTATTCAAATATCTATAAAATGTTCAAATTAACTGTTAATTACTAATTAATTGAATTACATTGGAATTATCTTGTAAGTCGAATACTCGTGGTGATTTCTCGTAGAGTAAAGGGTCGTTTTGTATTTTGTATCTTGGGAGTAGGCGTTGTTTTAGTCCGTTACATAAGTATCTGAAAATAGATTGAAGGTGGGCTAATATAGTCCGGTGGTGAGTGAAATCATATAGTATGATATTTGTGATCACTAACTCTTATGTGAGCAAATGGGTGGGAGGGATTGAACGTGCTAGAAATGATGACCCTATTACAGTGGACTGAACCACAGTTTCTATTTAATATAATATATTTTGCTTTTGACGAGTGATATAGAACCTACGGCTCGCAACCCGCGATTTTCATCTCCGCTCCTACGTGTAAACGAGAAGTGATTCGTTATGGAACGATTATTCATTTAGCCTGCTTCTGTTACTGCATGTCCACGTGTGCGTCCATAATAACTTCTGAACTACAGTGGAGCCGGGCAAAGAATTCTTTCTGAGCCTTCCCCACTCCGTCTGCTGCCCCTTTCTGCTCTCCCCCACTCTCCTACAGAAATTGTTGGATTACTCGTTTTCTAGTGTTACGCCTGGCGATGCTCCAGCGGGCTGGCTAGGATGGTAGAGTAGGGGAGCAGTGCCTCCCCTCCTGGCAAATCTTTATCCCGCTCTAGTAAGAATTGTTTGGACGGCTCAAGTATAGTAGGTGTATAAAACTGGATAGACTGAACGGCACATTACCATGCAAAGTATATTCATTATCGAATTTACGAAGTTTTGAATACAGTAACAAATGCCATTCTAGTTCCTGGCGTTAGAAGTGTTTTGTACGTTCAAGTAATTTGGGGTTTCAACTTGTTCGTTAACGCTTATTCATAATAATGATGGAGTTAATATTGATCTGTGTAGTTAATTTAGTCTGCAAATGTACATTAAAGTGGACATGCTGCATCTGTGTATGTGGAAATACACATTGTGATTGCGAATACATTGTGCGATACTTTAAACATAAAAATGAAACTGTATGAACAAATGTAGCAGCAGATATTCTTCATTCATCATGTATTCTGACTTCATTTTGGGGGAAATGAGTGGCCTCATAGGAAACCTACATGAAATTTGTATTTTTTTTATTAAGTTCAATTCCATTCTGACGACAATAACTATAATAATAACTAATAATGATAGTAAATAATAACTGGCAAGTTGCTGATGCACATAAGCAGCAAGACATGAACGTGTGAAGGGGGCGTGGCACTAATTCTTTGCGCATTTTAGACCTAAATGCCATATTGATTGAGTAGCCAGCTTCGAGCTCCGGCGGCTTTGCTCCCTAGCAAGGAGACCCTGTTGTCCTTCGAATTGGCGGTTGGGTAAACTCCAAAGCCTCTGTGGGTGTTGGGGAGCGAAGAAAGGAATAGCTTCTCTTGCGTGAATCGAACCCGGCCTGCCGAGAGCGTGCTGTCACAGTAGTGGGAACAGTGGATAGTGCCCCTGCTATGTAGAGTGAGACGCGTAATGGAGGTAACAATTGATTCAGCACTGCAAATGGCTAGAAGTCTCCGCACACCGGCTTGGCGCTCTTGATGACCGCCCCGCCAAACACCCTGACCGGTGTGCTGGCCCACGCTATCAGCAGGCGGCTCTGGTCCACTGGTGAGCCTCTCATCTCGACGCACTGCCGGTAGCTCTTTCTCACCAGTTCCAGCCCTGGGTTCGCTACCACACTCGCGTCTCGCGTTTCTCGGTTCCTCACAGGCGGAGCACGACGGCTGTTTCTGTGATCGCTTGGCCAACGGACTCGAGATGTACCGGGATCGCCTCTCAGCACTTTCTCGGAACGTTTTGTCTCTTCGGGCCACCGGATCAGTTTCTTGTCACTAGAAAGCACTCTCAACGTCACCCTTGATTGCTGGCGGGGGATGGGTGACAACCAACTGGACTCTTCTGCACTGTTGATCACGTAATGATTTCGAGGAAGAACCAGGGCGTTGTCATAGGCCGGGAGCGAGGACACACCCCGAGATCCATGGCTGGATGTCGGCTCCGATGTTAGCAGGTTGAACCCGAACACTTCCCCCTCGATGCCATCGTCGAGTCCCTTGTCGAAGTCTGTATATTCCTGCCCCACCACGACGTCGCCTCCCCCAGGGATCACCAAGCCCGTCGTCTGTAAGTGTTGGAGAACAGAATGTCTATTAATACATTCGCGGTATCACCATATATCCGATCTTCAGCACACGATATGACAGGTGTGTGGCGTACCACAGTGCCAAATTTCTTGCACCTAAACGCCCTTTATACCAGTTTTCCCCATCAGACGGCGCGGCGAAGAATTACGTGATCGCCATGTAACCGTATGCCAGTGTACCAGAATATGGTCCGAAACGAAAGTTTAATGGTGTCGATTAGTTTTTAAATCTCACATGCAACATTATATTTTATAAAATTTATTTAAAGTTATTCATTTTAACAGTTTATCACTACATGTTTCGACCAGTGTGCTCATCATCAGGTGTTTAAATTATTGAGCGAGGAAACTGCTGTCTTCCGTTGTTGCTTATGTTGTTAATACGTAAGTCCCCACGATACGCATGTGTGTATGAGTTGGTGGTGTTGTATTCGCTCCTGTTGTGTGTTGTGCTGCAACAACAGAAGGCATGTACTGTCTTCGCTCTCTCAGAAGTCGGGATCGTGGGTTCCAATACCGCACAAAGGCATGGATGTTTGGTGTGTGTGTGTGTGTGTGTGCGTTTATTCTCTGTTTGTGTTGTCCTGTGTTTAGGTAGAGGCCTTGTGATGAGCTGATCACCCGTCCAAGGAGTCCTGCCGTCTGTAGAATGATCAGTGAAACTGAGAAATCAGCCCTATGCTCCAAAGTGGGAGTAAGGGGACATAAAAAAAAAGACATGCTCAGTATTACCAGTTGACGGTCACGGCGCCCTCATCTTAGAAGTTCGCATAGCCACTATTTCTTACTAATGGCATGGAATTTAATTGTAGGTACATGGAATTGCTTCCAAGGCATTCATATGGTGATGATTGGTGGTAGAAAATATAGCAATAAAAGCCATCTAACTGCTTTAGTTTTACACCATAGAGACTTGGGGGGTAGAAAATTTACACGAATTGTTGGTCATGGCGACAGATGACAGGGAACGGTTACCTTCATGGTCGCTTTAAACCCCCCCCCCAGGAAAGAGCTCCAAGTACTCATTGGGTAGAGACATTTTCGGGTCACAAAGCTGGTTTAAGTGCGATGGCGAAGACATAAATTTCTCTCCCTACCGGGAATTGAACATCCGTGGTTGAACACAGCCAGTCACTTCATTGACTGAGCTTCTCCGACATATTGGTAAATTGGTTCGAATGATCCCTGTGGAGTACAAATATACAGCGCTACAATTTCTTATGAAATGACGGAAGCGGCTTATTGCAGCTCTGTGCTCCCAAAATGTTGTGAAATATTTGTCTCATTAAGTTCCGTAACTTTTGTGTGAAACAGTTACAGTAATTGGGGGGGGGGACTATTGTACATTGTACTAGTAAATGGAGCAGTCGTGTCACGGTTCCTCTTCACATTATGACAAGAGAAGTCATCCAAGGCAGATACTTATACAGAGTGCTCTGATTTTAATTCTGCGAGAAGACTGGAACTGCTGCACACGAATGAAGTCCTACATATATGGAAATAAATTTTTGGACATCTGCTTCATTTTGTCTGTTCTCTCGATGCCCCTCATCCACCGAAAAGGTTGGTGAATCGAGTAACGCGGGAGATACCCGGCATTAATCTACCCCCCCCTCCCCCAGTACCATTTGTACTCATTTTTTCGTGGTTTTCCATATTTATTCAAGACGAATGCTAAAAGAGCAGTTACGTATGAACTGCGAGGGTAACCGCTTCCTCTCGCTGTACACAATTCCTTTATTCAGTTCGACACTGAATAAAAAGTTACTGATAAGTCATTAAATGACCTGTGAACCATTCATCTCACGAGTCGGGATAGCTCAATCAGTATAGCGACGGGCTGGACTTTTCACCGACTTTGGGGCCCACCTACCTTTCTATCGAGTGGGTACGTGGGGCTCTTTCCGCGGAGGTAAAACGGCTGGGGCGTGTAGGAAAACACTCACCTCCATCTAGTGCCGAGGTCAAGAATGGTGGATTCATACCTCCACTCCCTCATCTGTCTTTATGACATAGTGTTTAATTAATGAAGCACAGGGACTTTGCCTTTTAAAGGTTTTTTGACAACAAGAAGTTCTGTCTTTTGGTGTATGAGTGTAGTCCGGTGAAAATCAGCTGAGGTTTAGAGGAATCTTGCTGCCTTCTTCATGCTGGTTTCTTGCTTGACTGATTCTTCCCATCTGAGGTTGGGGATGGAATGTTCCTCCGAAACACTGGTTGACTTTCACCGGACTTCACGGCGACGTATCCCAGAAGATGGAACTTGTTTGTAGCCACCGCTGTGGAAACCCCAAATCCACCCTTTTGGTAGTAGTTGAAGTGATTATCAGTAGGGCGTCTTGCTCTTGCCATTGTCCCCTATCTGACTTAGTTTGATATACACAGCATTTCGGGAGGTTGCTGTGTTTCCGCCTCCAAATGATCAGTTGTTATGCTGACATTCTGTCTAGTATTTCTAGCTTCCCTTATTTTGTAAAAATAAAAGTAGGTTTCTGATATATTGATGTCGGTGTGTGTAATTGTAATAGTATTGTCTGTATGTATTGATAATGATCAATTACATTATAGTAATATTTTCCGCATGTATTGATACGTCCTTCTGAAGATAGTGGCTCCGTCCTCAACATGTCATTGATGAAAGGTTAAAAAGAGAAAAACATTTATCAATCACACTGAACGGAGTTGATAATCTTTCATACAGATTATGTACATCCAACAGGAAGTCTTAACTCCATTCCAAATCGTATGTATCCACACAGACTTCCTGAGTAGCACGCGTCCTGAAAGGATTCAAAATTCTAAGGAATCCATAGTCGAAACACGACAGCTAATCATTTTTCGAGCTCGAAATTCAGAAACTTCTTCGCCTCACGCGGACCGCTTCTTGTAGGCTACCAGAGGATTCAGTTGTCTGAATAGTGACGTGAGCACTCCCTGAGGTGTTTGTGTCCTTGTCAGAAAACTAATAACGCAGATTCAGTTACCAATTCAGATGTCACAGGAGCTCTGTTTTGTAATTGCATTTGTATTTGTTTGCAAATTGAGTTTCACTGTTCATTCTGCTCATTATGTCTGCTGCAGACGGTTCTGGGCGGAGAACCTTTGTTGCATCTAGAAAACCTACAGTTGTAACGTGAGGACAGCGCACAGGGGCACAAAATAATGGGTGTTTTTTTGCATCCAACGCGTATCATATGAGTTACAAAATTTGGCGTGTTTTAAAATGTAAGGTACTCCAGTAGGATGTGTTAGGCCTCTCGAACACTGCGGTTACAATTTAGAATTCTGCTGGCACTAACTTCGCCGACAAGCGGCGCTCGCTCGGTCGGTATAGTTTGCTTGCGGACTAAAGCCACGGCGTTTGTTTGTTTGCCTGCTTGTTTTTATTTATATATTTGAAGCGTTTTAGCCTATTTTCTTCCTTATGGAAGAGAACAGCTGGACTTGTGAAATCACGACGGTGTCTTTATTTGTGTTTGTGTCTTTCTGACCAATTATCTTGCCACTCGACGCTGTATGTCCGAGAAATTTGTAGCATCGTAAGGTAAGCTACAGGGAGCCGGGATAGCGCAGTCGGTATAGCGACTGTCTACGGACTGGACGACGGAGGGGTCGCAGTTCGAGTCCCGGTAGGATCAAGAATTTTCACTTCTCCATGTTGTCCAGACCGGCTCTGGGGCCAAACCAGCCTCCTATACAGTGGGTACCGGGGGTAAAACGGCCGGGACGTGAAGCTGAGCACACCTCCAGCTAGTGCCGAGGTTAAGAAAACGTGGATCTATACATCCGCTCACATACGCCTTCGTGGCGTAGTGCTTCATTAATTAAGCACAGGGACAGCTTTGCCTTTTTTTACCTTTTAAAGTAAAATACAAAAAAAAAATCTCAGATGAATGTTTTATGATCGCTACGTTTTCTTTAAAGTGCTGTTTCCAATGCATTGGCGTGGTTGTTAAATGTGTGTAGGCTATACGAACGCGTTTGTTTGTTAAAGCTCTGTTCTTAGCTCACTCGAAAGTACACAAAATGCCGCCATGACAGTTGGTGGCATAGAACAAGGTAAGAGGTAAGTAATCCCTATGCTTAACTCATTAAACACTACGCCATGAAGGTGTATGGGGAGTGGATGTTAAGATTCACACTTTCTTGTCCTCGACACTAGTTGGAGGTGAGTAGTCAGCTTCACGTCCCGGTCGTTTTACCCCCGAGGAAAGAGCCCCCCCCCTGTACCCATTGTATAGGAGGTAGGGTGGACCCCAGAGCCGGTCTGGACGACATGGAGAAGTGAAACACTTTGCCCCATCGGGACTCGAACTGGAACTCCGACTCCTCCGTCCTCCAGCCAGTAGCTAGACTGCGCTATCTCGGCTTGAGGAGTAGGACATAAGGAAGAAGTTATTGATGAAGCAGATGTGTGATTCGGGTTTGTTGGGCGTTTTTAAACTAACTTTAATGATTTGGATTTGTGTTGCGATCGAGCACAGCTGTGTCTGCTCTTCATGCCTTCATTTGTAGGTTGATTGCCAGGTTGATTGATGGAGGGGGCTGAACTTGTGATATTCGATTTTCTGCTCAGAATCAGAAGTGCACACTTCAAGAACTGCTGTGGCTAGAACACGGTAGTGCCATTTCTTCCACATCAGTTGTAACCGATGGTTAGATCTAATGGAATGGAGTGTTTCTTTTTCCACACCAGATATAACGAGCAAGTTGGTGTAACCTTAACATTGTGGACTCATGTTCTGGATGTACCCGGTTCGAATCACGGCTGCGCTGTCGGATATTCGTGTCGATGTATTTTTCGTGGTTTTGCACAGTACATAAAGGAAAGTTGTGGGATGAACCTTCACGTAAACCACGTTTTTCTTCTTCCAAATTTTTATTTTCTCACGAAACTTCTTGCAAATATATTTAATATGTTCAACTGAACCGGAGTCTACAAATAACTTAAGACATAATGAGATGTACTGGGAGTATCTCTTGTGACAGGGTTTCCGACGAGTTGCATAACTTAAGGAGACTGAGATTTGATGTCTTTACGACGGTAACAACGAAAGTTACTAGATTCTGGAACTAGGTTGCCGGACTAGTTACCTGCCGCCGAACACAGTGGCCGGGCGGTCTAATGTATGAACCGTCATCGCCCGCTCGAAAACTTGGGTCGTGGGTTCGAATCCTACTCGAGGCATGGATGTCTGTGCGTTTATTCTGTGTATAGGTAGCAGCCTTACGACGGGCTGATATCCTGTTCAAGGAGTCCTACAGACTGTGTATAGGATTAAGAAAATGAACAAGCGGCCAAGGTCCCAAGGGCTGCAAAGTCAGAGAGAGAGAGAAGTAATAACCCGTCAGTCATCCTCAGTAGCTGCCATGTTTACATTCACTCCGTAGATATGTCGAATGGAGTATAGTTACCTGCCAGTCCTCGCCAGTAGCTGCCAATTTGCCATTGATGTAGAGCGCCCACTGGCCCGCAGTGTTGCTCCAAGACTGACAGAAGTGGTACCAGTGTTCCAGGGCTATATCTATGGGGGCACTCATGACATCTTGCTTCAGTACCTCGAACTTGACGTGAGCCCGTCGGCCGGGTAAAGGTGGCTCTAGCCACAACCGCAGAAGGCGCTCCGTTTCATCTTCTGCAAACACAGTAGTGCGCTTGGTTATACAGGGAAACTTGTTCTAAAGACCTCTTACATTCAAAGGCCATGTTTGTGTGGAAAGAATTAATGTTTACGCCAATTTATTGTAGTGCAACATCCTATTCGGCGACAGCCCCTATATCCGACCAGTGACCATGCCTGATCTTTACCTGACCCCTCTAATTAGTTCAATTGCCGTGGACCAACTTCAGAAAGTGTCGCAAAATTTATTTATGCTATGCGAGGCATGTTTGCAAGCAGAAGGGGGCCACTTCCAGCACTTGTTATAAAGCACGGTAAGTTTGTGTTATCTTTTTACAGTATCCCTATAAATGTGTGCATGTACAGAAACTGACGCGAGGGAATGAGCGACACGACTGCACTCTCGCTAGCGGGGAAGGGCACAGTAGTCGCGGAGAAACGATACATCTGCTCTACGCTAGCAAGAGTGCGCGCGTCTATCATCACTGATGACTCATTCCGCTATCGGAAGTTAAGCATAATTCTGTGAGAAATGTTGTATCCGACCCACGCAGAACGCGCCGTAGCTCAAGCGGTTAGTCGCTGGCTTCCCACCGCGGCGGCCCGGGTTCGATCCCGGGTATGGTCAAGTGGGATTTGTGGTGGACAAAGTGGGGCTGGGGCAGATTTTCTCCGAGTACTTCGGTTTCCCCTGCCAATCTTCATTCCACCAATTGCTCCATAACCACCCTCACCTATCATCTGGGGCTGGTACAATAGGCCACAAGTGGCCGCAGTACAAAGTGGACTCAGTCCCACCCCACCAAGTAATAATAATAATCCGACCCACGCTGCTCCCCGGTTTCCTCGATGGTTGAACGTACTGTGCTATACTGCCCAAATTATTACGCATCCCCCACTCATCCACCCCCTATTCAAAGCCTATCCCTATAAAAGTCGACTTGTGAGCGGAACGGTTGGTGGTCACAGAGAAGAGTCGCTGCGTCAGCTGCCTGGGTTATGTAACTTGGAATGCGTCATGAAATGATTGAACGAGTAGGCAGAGAAATTTGACAAGGGAATGGAGTACTCGAATATATCGGTCCGAATGTCCTGTCGCCTGCCGGAATTTGAACCAGGACCCACTATTGCGAGTTAGACGCAAAGGAACTTAGTATCAGGGCAGACTTAAGGGGAAGCGACGTGGTTGTTCGCCCCGGGACATTCTCAAAACAGAAATGTAATTTACAGATTTTGTTGAGACATCTGCTTCTCTCAGTTCACGTAAAGTTAGTTTATATTTCTAGTTGTTGCAAGAAATAATAAGAACTGTCATAATCTACATTATTTGTTACTGGTAGGGGTCTCCACATTTAGACTGACCTGGGTGGGGGGGGGCACAATTGTAAATTTGGACCCTCTTGATTGGTGCTTAGGCCGTAGGATAATTTTTGTCTAGCGTAGTTGGTTGACGCACTTTGCTACAAGCCGGAAGGTCGCGGGTTCGATTGACGATGAGGTCATTGGATTTTTCAATTGACCTTATCCTTCCAGCCGCACTATGGCCTTGGGGTAGACTCACCGTCCAACAGAAACGAGTACCAGGGCGGGCTGCGTATAAGGCTGACAACCTCACCGCCATCTGTGGGCTGACTGTGTAGAAAATGTGGGAACCTCGACGTCTCACAACCCTATGGGCCCCCACGGCGTGTTACAGGGATAGCTTTACTTTACCTTTTTAATCCTTAGGTTGGTGCGTGAATCACGACTCTAGGGGCTGGCTGTGATGAGATTCTTCCCTCAGTAACGAGTTGTCCTAGGAAGAACTAATCGCATATTTTCGTTTGGTAGGACACGGGCCGCATACAAACGACGCCTCCAACAATACTTCATTGCCGCGGGAACGTCTTTACCTAGCAGCGATAAGGGAATACACAGACCTACAGACTATCCTTTGATAAACACCGACAGCATAGAAAGTAACGCTTGCAACAGTTCTTCTATTGCTTGCATTTGTTGCCGCGGGAACATGTTTACAGAGCCGTTGCCTAGCACTGAAAGCGGAATAAACTTAACCCAGTGATAGGAGGGATAAACATACACAGACTGATTGGAGGGATTTATGAAGTGCGCCGTGAGATGGGCTCGGTTGTCATGGTGTATGTACTAAGTTTCGTGTAGATCGATTCATGTATTCAGAAGTTGATAAAGGGGATACAGAGGCACACAAACAGCATGGAGATCGCATAAACCTACATCGGGCTAGTAGGCTAAAAATTGTACGAATATTTGCCTTCGCTGTCTGTGAGATACGGCGTTTTCTCATCTCACTTTACATAAATTTCGCAGTTGATCGTTAAATAACCTGTACATCTCACTCACTCATGGAGCTGAGCCCTTCTTGAGACGCCGCCAATTGTGCAGCAACTCAAGAACGTCTCAGAATTTTATTGAACCCGAAGGTTCATTACAGCGCTCACAAGAACCCTCCACTGGATCCTGTACGTCTTAGCAACAAAATGAGTGGCCATAGTGAACAGCAAAGTACCGAGTTGAGAAATTTTTCGGCAGGAAGAGCGTTATCGATTTAAGGCCAGTGGAAGACAGTGAGGCCTTTTAAGTCATCGTCATTATCCGTCGTTACCCTCCAGGAGCAGGGACAGCTGAACGCCTGTCACTCCGATCACTACACGACGTTGCGTGGGCCCAAAAGCGACGGCATATCTGCGCCAACTTTCTGTTTCTTTGTGTACTCAGAAGCTTTTTATCCATTTCTTTAGATACGGTCATGAATGGAATCAGTTGACCGAGATGAAGGTTTTGATGACACTTGGAAACTCCAGTGAGAAATGAAGGTTATTGTCTGTGATGTGGCGTCTTGTAGTCTGGGAGGCCGCCTTCGACGTTTGCGATGAACATGCTACGCTCATATTGATTAGAAGACGGCAGCATGTTCCTTCGAAACGTCGGCATTGAATTACGATATTACACAACTTCGCGTTACAGAAGGCAATGATCTTAGTTACCTCCGCCTTGAAATCTTGAAATCTCACCAAGCGACTGGACGCTGCTTTTCTTGATTCAAGATCTTGGGGTTTTCTATAGCCCTAAGCGAATAGTGGGATTTCATCCTGACGTAGGCAACGGCCGCTTTCCTTCCATTTTACCGCGTGTAATCATTTTCCCGCCCGTCAGGGTACCTGAGCGGTCTAAGGCATACAATCTGTTCGCTCGCTCGGAAGCCGGGATCATGGCTTCCAATCCCACTCATGGCATGGTTGTTCAGTGTTTGTGTGTGCGCGTTTTTGTGTGTTTGTGTACAGGTAGAGGCCTTGCAACGAGCTGATCACCCGCCCAAGGAGTCCTGCCGAGTGTCTAAGATCTAGTAAACCGAAGTGAAACGGAGAGTTTCATGGAGGTAGGGCAACGCCCAAATTTGGGCTAGAGACCCTCCGTGCATGATGGAGTAGCCGTAACATTAGATTCGTATTGTAGCAGTACTTGGCTTGAATGTTGGTAGGACTGTTGGTTGTTTTCATTTACGGTTTTTCTTTGTTTTCCTCAGTTTCCCCAGACGAGTACTAAGGTGATTGCTTACCTCATCACTATTCATTATCGTATTCTCGTTTCATTCATAGCTGTGTAACCTCGGCGTTTCGAAGCGCATCGTTAAATAATCCAGCAGTCAATCAGTCTATGTACATGCTCCGATGAATCGATCATGTCCCAGCACTGGTACACCCGTGCTAGAAGGCGAGAGGTCGTGGGTTTGACTGCCGAATCGAGCGGTAATATTTCATAGAAATAATGTTTTTTTTAATCGAACTTTGTAACAGACGGGCGTGTTATGTCTACACGTACATTGAATAGAAGATGATTTGCCGTTCAGCAGACCTTCCAGCGACGGAAATCATAACTTCCAATTGAGACATAATTTGGTAATTTTTTTATTGCTAGTGAGGTGGGACTAAGTCCCTTGTACTGCGGCCACTTCTGGCCTATTGTACCAGCCCAAGATGATAGGTGAGGGTGATTGTGGAGCAATTGGTGGAATGAAGATTGGCAGGGGAAACCGAAGTACTCGGAGGAAACCTGCCTCAGCGCCAGTTTGTCCACCACAAATCCCACTTGACTAGACCCGGGATCGAACCCGGGCCGCCGCGGTGGCAAGCCAGCGACTAACCTCTTGAGCTATGGCGCGGCCTTGAAACTGTGTCAGTTCGTTCGATTGTTTTATCTCTGTAACTGTTAGATGGATTACGATCAAACTTAGTATTGGGAATCTGCACAGTTTTGAACGAATATAATTTTCTTTTATATTGGTCCAATATGACCCCTACTTTACGTGAATCTTAAATCAAACGTAAAAAAAAAAAGAATCGTTGTAGGCGTACGAACAATTCGTAGAATACTTAAAATTCATATATCGCGTTGAGATTCACCTGATATCGTGTGGGATGTAACGCCGTATAGTCTGATAGATGTTTACGAATCTTTCGGAGGAACGCTTTGCCTCCATTTTCAGTATCGACCACCATGGTCCCTGATATGGGAATCTCAGATGTACTTTTTTTTTTATTTGAAACGTTTCCAGTTACGAAAGAAAACAGTTTCAAAATCTCTACACTTTGCCGTCTGCTGTGACCAGTTTCTGCAGCCGAGGGTGCATCTGCAGTAAGTGAACATCAAGCAGTTAGTCGCTGGCTTCCCACCGCGGCGACCCGGGTTCGATCCCGGGTCTGGTCAAGTGCGATTTGCGATGGACAAAGTGGTCCTGGGACGGGTTTTCTCCGAATACTTCGGTTTCCCCTGCCAATCTTCATTCCACCAAATTCTCCATCATCATAATCACCCGGGGCAGGTACAATAGGCCATTCAGTGACCGCCGTGCCGAGTGGACCCAGCTGGACTCCAACCCCCACTAAGCGAATTAAGTAAAAAGTGAACATCAAAGTAATTGAGGTAGGCGTGGCAAAAATACGCAGATTGTATTTACATAACATTTCCACGTTTGTTATAAACACTCGGAATTGAAATAAAATACGAAAAGAACAATTAAAGATGTTCCTGTTTCGACTGCTTTTAAGCAGTAACGGTTAACAATTGTTATTCAGGTCAGTTACTACGGAGAAACTATTGTTCCCCGCCACCGCTTTGTGTGCCTTTTCCTCTTTCACAGACCCAGAATTAAACGATAGAGACGTTCTTTATCGTCAAGTTTACTGAACTCTGGCCTTAGCGGACATGACACCGGGGTTCCCTTCAAGTTTCGTGATGATAAATTACTTCTAAAAGGAAGAACATGTTCTATGTGTGGGCGCATGTGTGTGAGTGGAAGATTGTGGGACAGTGCATGTTCGAAAGTTTTAGATATCCACACCGCAAGACAAAATGCAGACTGTTCTTTGCTCGGTGTTACATTAATTAATGTATTCAGCACGAGATGTGTCTGAAAATCTATAGCGTGAATTTAAAACACATTTTGGCAGATATCCCATTATTATCGCACACAAATACGTTTTGAAGAGTTTTATCAACTACGCTTGTAGTCCGTTGAATGTCAACCGACGTTTTGGAGGAACGTGTTGCCTCCATCTTGAAGTTATAAAAACTAAAAAAGTAAAAATATCCCTGTAACAGGCTGTGGAGGCCCATATGGTTGTGAGATGTGGACATTCCCACATTTTCTATACAATCGGCTCATAGATGGCGGCAAGGTTGTCAGTCCTACGCGCCGGCCGTCCTTTACCCCCAAGAATCTGGTACTCATTTCTGTTAGAGGCTGAGTCGACCCCAGGGCCATAATGTGGCTGGGAGGATTAGGTCAATTGAAAAAATCCAATGACCTAATCGGGACCTGAACCCGCGACCTTTCGGCTTGTAGCGTAGTGCCTCAACCACCTACGACACCGCGTGCCCCCGCCATCTTGATATAACTCGTCATAACCACCGCTGTGAGACCCTCGATTCGTACAGACACGTTTTGTTTACGTATTTTCATACAATCGATTTCAATGTTGTCCTTTTATTTCGTGGAAGCCCGAGTTCTTGTCTGTGCTGGAAATGTGATCTGATAGAGTCAGGAACCTGGCTGTTCAAGTGGTGTGGCTGATCAGTTTTCTGGTAACTGCATACGAAAGAGGGGAAGTACCGTGCGAAGAATTCGGTGCCAGTAGAGAAACATCGACTGTTGCGTGTCTGTATTAGGCGAACAAGGAGGCAGTGATAGGTCATCTGTTCACTGGCGTAGCAGTAACAAGTCTTGCGTCGTGCTGCTAATGGTAATATCTTCTGGGATATTACACCGTGTAGTCTGGTGTATGTTTAGCCACACTTCGGACTTGCTATTTTTTTTTATTGCTAGTGGGGTGGGACTAAGTCCCTTGTACTGCGGCCACTTCTGGCCTATTGTACCAGCCCCAGATGATAGGTGAGTGTGATTGTGGAGCAATTGGTGGAATGAAGATTGGCTGGGGAAACCGAAGTACTCGGAGAAAACCTGCTTCAGCGCCACTTTGTCCACCACAAATCCCATTTGATCGAACCAGGGCCGCCGCGATGGGAAGCCAGCGACTAACCGCTTGAGCTATGGTGCGGCCATGAACTTGCTATTTGCTTCGGTTACTCTTCGACCCTGAAGATAGAGGTAGTATATTCCTCCGAAACGTCGGTACACAAACTACACGGCGTAGAAGTAGTATCCCTCTTAGTGACTGCCGCGAGAACCCCGAATCTTTCGTGGTAATTAACTGTTTGCCAGTAGATCAAGAGCTAATGCAGCCGTTCTCTCTCCCTCCGTTTCGACATTGGAGCTCATTGTCTTGCTTCCTCCCCGCCATAATCGACTTCCTTCCCTCTCGACCTGGCCTAATGACACCTTAAAGTAAGAGAACTGGGCCATTAACGAGACAAAAACACTCTGTAATGCGACAAACGTGGGGTAACGTAATATATTAACGTCATTAGTGGCTACAGTTCTCGGCTAAATACTTCTAGAGTCTTCTTCTTCTTCTCCTGCCATTCCTGTCAGGCCAGCTGGCCTGTTAGCCATCATAATTTATCTTTTAGACAGTTCGTAGGATTCCTTGGACGGGGAATCAGCCCTGTTGTGAGGCCGCCACCTACACACAGAACAACACAAACACAGAAGATACGCAGACAGACATCCATGGCTCGAGTGGGGTTCGAACCCACGATCCTAATGTTTGAACTGGCGAAGATATTTCATGCCTTTCCCAAAGTTGTTAGTACATTTAGATAAATACCTTAGAATACCTGTGAATTTTCATGTAGTGTGATTTTTGGGGTTAGTGAATTTTGGCCTAAAGTCTATTTGATGACATTTTTGTTAGAACCTCAGTAAATTTTTATCCCGGAGACGGAATGACACGACACCCGAGCATTGTAAGGCGTGCATGTGCTGTCAGATTTTATCCACTCGAAAAGTGTCCGGTTGGGATATTGATCAGAAAACTCACAACCTTGAATGAGGTTTTCCTCTGGAATCCCGGGGTCATATCAATGTTTAAATAGAATATGATCAGCGCTTTTTCATTCCAACTTTCGTAATTATTCTCACGTGTCATACAGCACCGAGTAGGCAGTTCGTCGGCAGGTACCAAATTTCAGTCTTGTTATCGTGACTGATGTTTGTCTCTCTCTCTCAGCCCTTCCAGAGATGTCTCAGAAGTGGCCACTACCGCTCCTCCCAGCATCTGTTCCTTTTCATCATCTTGGCTTCAAATAATCTGACCGGTTGACATTCATCAAATCCGACGAAGTATAATGCAAGATTTTTAAGCTTTCGCGACGAGTTAATATGCTAAAATCTTTGCGGGCACCAGGTTAAGTGACATTGTGATAGATTAGTGTTGGGTGGTGACCGCACAGTCTGACTCCGCTCTCTTACTGCATAGTGCGGCAACAGAAAGAGACATCGAATTTACGGACTGGCGTATCAGCGACGTATGGTCATTCACAGTATCGGCTTGATGATGGAGACAGAGGAGATCTCCGAAACGCTGGTTTATAACTCAAAATTGACAGGCATATAACTTGAGAAGATTTTAATACGAAGAGGTAGAAGTTATACATTTCTTGAACAGTGACTCCATGAGGTTAGCATGCAAATTTTGTAGGTGTCTATTTGTCTACTGTTACTGGGTGTGCATCTCAGGTATATTGGAGTAGTACATCACGCAGCATCACGCTTATAGAAAGAGAAAACGCCCAAGTGATATAACACACTTACTGGAATAGGAGAAGAGAGGATGCGGGTTGCTGAAGTTACTGCTCTTCACCCAGATGCAGAAGGTGAAGTCGTGAAGCTCTGGAATCTCAACCTGGTACCGCAGGAACTGAAATGTAGAGTCGTGGATCGGTGTAAACATGCAGTGCAGAGGAACAACTCGCCCAGAATAGCAAATAACTTTGTAACGTACAGCGGGTTGAACAATAATGGAAACGTTACAGATACTGAACACATTTCTTTATTAATGTGGTGCTGGACCAACTTCTACCTTCAGTACAGCACCACTCCTTCTTGGAATGGACTCATACAAGTGTTGAACAGCCTCTAGTGGAATTTTATATCATTCCTCTTGAAGAACATCGTCAAATTGCTTTAGAGGTGTTGGAGATGGGAATCTGTTACACACTCTAGTTTACAAAACTGACCAGAGGGTTCAGTGATGTTCCAGTCTGGTAATTGTGCAGGCCATGGAAAATGTTGAAGTTCGCTTTGATGCTCTTCAAACCACGACTGAACAGTCCTAGCTGTGTGAATGGGGTCATCGTTACTCAGAAATAACGTCTGGTCATGGGATGTACCTGATTACCCAACCTGTCCACTTACGCCCTTGCAGTAATTCGGCCATTAGGGCAATAAAGGGGACCAACAGAATACTGTACCACGACATTGCTGTCCAAACCATCACAGAATCTCTCCTATGTTTCACTGTTGGAACCAGGCATTCCGAGGAATTCTCCAAGTGTAAACTCTTCCTGATGTAGGGAACAGTGTGAAGTACGACTCTCCTGATCATATCTCGCATTTTCAGTTGTCTGGTTATGTGATAAAAGGTGAAAGTTAAAGCTATCCCTGTAACAGGCCGTGAAGGCCCATAGGGTTGTGAGACGTCGAGGCTCCCACATTTTCTGTAGACAATCGGCTCACAGATGGCGATAAGGTTGTCAGCCTTACGCGCCGGCCTTCCTTTACCCCCAGGAAGAATCCTGATACTCATTTCTGTTAGAAGCTGAGTCGACCCCAGGGCCATAGTGCGGCTGGAAGGATAAGGTAAATTGAAAAATATCCACCTCATCGGGATTCGAACGCACGACGTTCCGGCTTGTAGCATAATGCCTCAACCCACTACGCTATTCCGGGCCCGCTGTTATCTGATGTCCAGGTTTTATGGTCGTGACAACATCGTTTACCCATCTGAGCATTACTTTCAGTAATCAGAGGTTTAGCAGTTGCAGCCCTACCATGGATGTTGGATTTTTTATTGCTAGTGGAGTGGGATGAAGTCCCTTGTACTGCGGCCACTTCTGGCCTACTGTACCAGCCCCAGATGACAGGTGAGTGTGATTGTGGAGCAATTGGTGGAATGAAGATTGGCAGGGGAAACCGAAGTACTCGGAGAAAACGTGCCCCAGGGCCACTTTGTCCACCACAAATCCACTTCATCAGACCGAAGAGTGGATGTAGGATTTGTGAAGCTCACGTCGGACAGTTTTTGTGGAAACAGGTTTTCAAGATGAATATTCAGGTCTGTTGTGACCTATGCTGCAATAATTTTATGATTAACCGAAGAAGTTCTCCGTTTACGACCATCTCTTTCTGTCAGTGTTGATTTTCGCCCACTGTTCCTCTTCGCTGATGTTGTCTTCCCATGATTCGTGTATGCAGACATAACCATAGAAACTGTCGCTCTTAATACGCCTAATGACATCGCAGTTTTTGTCAAAGATGGTCCAGCTAAACGCGCACCAACGATTTGCCCTCTTTACAAATGAGACATATCTCCCATTATCCGATTATATCACACCGATTGTCACCCAACACAATCACTAATGCTCTGACGGGAGCAGTACGGAGTGTAAACACTAGGAAGAACATTCAGGGTTGCAAGCTGAAGTTCTTTCATTGTAGCCAACACAAAATTCAGTTTCTTAATGTCTCCATTATTTTGTCCACCCCTGTACATAGTGACCGGAATAAGTTGGAGTGTAAGAACTGAAATAAATGATGCAATTTACAGCTGCAGACCTACAAACTTTCTCATTCGTTGCTCTTGTCTTTAAAAAGACACGCTTCTCTAGGCAGTAAATATACTTTTGAGAATACCTGGCCTGCGGGTTGCCGTTTAGGATAGCATGCCTTTACTTCTATTGCCTATAAATGAAATGATATAGTCGAAGACATCACAGGTTTTGTGAAGACAGCTGGCATCTCCTGCTTGAAGTACCGTACGCCTCCGTATTCTTATATGTTAAAATACTGGCCTGCAGTGCCAACAAAGTTGAAGGGGGACGGAATCATCTTATTCATGCTATGGCGTACAGACCCGTTGCTAAGCAGTGACTCTGTAAACAGCGGCCGTTGCTAGGTAACACCCGTAACATACACGCACGCAACAATAGAATAAAGGTGTTTTCTATATTGTCCGCGCCGCGGCCATTGCTATGCAACGGTGCCGTAAACACGCCTCTAAAACAATAGAGGGATCTGTTTTCTGCGTGGTCCGTGCCGATTAGTTATCTTAAAGGTATGTGGCGCGATGTAACAGCCTCCCTGTTCCTGGGAGATATAAATGCGAGGACCTGTCCCTCCAGGTTACGGGAGTCTCGAATCTAAGACATTTAAATGTGGCGATGAGTCCCTCGGGACTCGGACTTGAGAATGACTACGCTAGCGAGGGCTAGCAGAAATTGTAAACGACAGACCCATCCTCTCATCAGAGAAGATGTTACATAGCCGCAAGTTTTCAGTAAAAGAAATTGCTGGTCGTGAGTTTCAAGGGACTTGTCGCTAAGACGAACTGATGGACGGTAAACCGTCAGTCATAAAGTAACCTAGACCCTGGTACTTAAGTTGAGAGTTCAGATGTGGAATGTTAACCAGCTGGAAACGGCATGACCACGGAAGCTGTAGAATCTCCTATGTTAAGATTCGTTACCAGGAAACGTCTAGCGAAGACATTGCAGAGGAATAGCCATTGTTGGGAGCTGTTACCAAGTAACGACTAGTGAAAGCAGACTGAGGAGGAAGCGTGGAGTGATTTGTAATGTGGAAATCAGCAGCAGCTTTACAGTTATTACATATAAATGGTCAATAAGTCTTTTCATCAAAATCTTCCACAGTATTCAAACGCAGGTTCTTAGGGGGAAGCATGAACGGACACACATGCACGCACGGGGACTGAAATTATGCCAGTTGCTTATATTTTTTAACAGGAAGAAGGAAATTGAGACGAATAGGCTAAGAAACACTATCTATCTATCACTGTACAGCCCTTTGTTGGACTTTTGCCGCTTTTTCAGTTTCTTGATCTTTCACATGGTAGGGCAAGGCCGCTACCTACACACAGGATAACACAAACACAGAATAAACGCTTACAGACATCCATGCCTCAAGTGGGATTCGAACCCACGATTCCAGTATTTGAGCAGGCGAACACAGTTCATGCCTTAGAACGCGCCGCCAGTGTGATCGGTTGCTAAGAAGCACTGCTATAGATAAATTAAGACTGTATAAACTGGAAATCAGAACTTGCCTGGATATAGCCTTTCTGAGTGAGTAGAACTTTGTAAAGATTGTGTGATGGCTGGGCTTCCGTCGTGCTGACTGCGATCAGCAGCACGGCTGACAGGATGCTGACTCTCGCCATCTTCTACATAATGTCCGAAAGCTTCATGTAAATTAATAATTGGTTGTTATTAATTTGCTCCATAATTGCTTGCAGCAAGAACTGACGCAGTTCTCGGTCGCTGGTCTTCTGTTGGGCTGACCTCTTATGTCTGCTGATACGCGATGCGTGCCAAGTCCCTGCAAAAATAAAGACGATCAAGCCTGGGAGGTTGGGATGAAGATGTTAAAGTTAGTCTTAAGGAAACTCGATGTTTTAATATCGATTATGTTGTTACATTATCGCAACTAGTGGCCGGTTGTTGTCCTGCTCTTGTTGTACATTCAGCTTTTAACAGAAGAAACTCGTTCTGTATTTAAAAAAACAAAGAAGGCACTACAGTATCAACATTTTTTAATATTTGTTTTTACAAATGCAATATGTTTCGACCCTTATACCGGGCCATCATCAGGCTTACAATGCTCAAGCTTAAGCTATTGAATTGCAGTTCATTTTTATCTAATTCTACAAATCAAGATCCTTATGTCTTGAAATTATTTAAATGCATAAAATCATAAAGTGAGACTTTTGGTCAAAATTTAAAATGTTTAGATAATAAAATTTAAAGTTAAAGATATAAATGTTAAAATTAGATACTAAATATTAAAACATGAAAGCTAAAATTGTACAAAAATGTAATAGAAATGTTTTTTTTCTTTTTGTGAAGAAACTGCGACCGCTACCAGTTATTTTATTATTCTATGACGGCAGAAACGCGTTTGTTACGTCTGGGTCTCTTTGTTATTAGTCATCGTATCGAATTCCGGATGCAGTACTGCAATGGTTCGCGATTTAGAAACATCGAACGATTAAAATTATCTTTTTCTGTCTCACGAAATGAAATCCATGAAACTGGTCGTAAGGGAAGTTACAAATCATCACCATCATCATATTTCTCTTCGTCTCCTTTTACGGATTTGGATTCGAACCGACAATCCCAGAGTTCGAGCGAGCCTTAGACCGTGCAGCCACTCTGATCGGCAAATTATGCATCTTTGTCCTGCATTTAATTTCAAATTCCGTTTTGAACCATAGTTAACCTTAGACAGACCTTCTTCTGTGCAAAGTACACCCGATAACCGTGGGGCAGTTTTGTGTCGGCCCCAGACCCAGTTAGACGCATATGTGTGGAATTTCTACCCGTGCCGGGAATCGAATGCTATGTCGGCTCTTATTGTCATTCTGAGCTACGCTAAAACCTGTGTTCACTTTGTTACGGGCAACAAGAGGCACGGTTTCGTTGTGCGGGAAGTTTGCTGTCCCCCGGTTGCTTACCGATTCCTGACTATTTGTAAACCCATGTGTCTACTTTCACTAGGAAATTGCACTTCTCCTATGTATTCATAAATCTGCTTGTCTGCTTTCATTTGTAAATTGCATTTCTCCTGTCGGAAACATATATCTGTTTTCATTTGTAAATTGCATTTTTCCTGTCGTAAACACTTATGTCTGCTTTCATTTCCAAATTGTATTTTTCCTGTCTGTTCGTAAACACTTATGTCTGCTTTCATTTGTAAATTGTATTTTTCCTGTCTGTTCGTAAACACGTATCTGCTTTCATTTGTGAATTGAATTTTCCCTGTCTTCGTAAACACACATGTCTGCTTTCATTTGTAAACTGTATTTTTCCTGTCTGTCCGTAAACACGTATCTGTTTTCATTTGTGAATTGAATTTTCCCTGTCTGTTCGTAAACACATATATCTGCTTTCATTTGTAAATTGTATTTTTCCTGTCCGTAAACTCATATGTTTTGTTTTATTTGTGTATTGCATTTTTTCCATCTCTCCTTAAAAGCGTGTGTCCGCTTTCGTTTGTAAATTGCATTTTTTCCAATCCGTGAACCCGTGTGTCTGCTTTCATTTGCAAATTGCATATTTCCAATCCGTGAACCCGCGTGTCTGCTTTTATTTGTCAATAGCATTTTTCCAATCCTTGGACCCGTATGTCCGCTTTCGTTTGTAAATTGCATTTTTCCAATCCGTGAACCCGTGCGTCTGCTTTCGTTTGTAAATTGTATTTTTCCAATCCTTGGACCCGTGTGACCGCTTTCGTTTTGAAATTGCATTTATCGTGACACAGGCCAGTAGGCTAATGGAAATAGCGGAGAGCAGCGACTTTCATTGACAGGCGAGCAACACACTTCGTAAACTTGTTACGAGTGTTTTCAGTAACTTCCAGTTTCAAACGTAATCTTCACCAGCAGAAGTTGAGACGAAGCTCGTGTTCTTAAGCTGTTTCATTAACAAAGCATTATTCTTCATATGCACACTTAAAGGTGCAGTTATACGACTTGTCAATTTATTAGGGTTTTTTATTTATGGTTTATTTAATGTTTCTGGTAGTATCTCAGACTACGGACCTATAGGATAGCATCAAATGCTAGACTAATTGGTGATTAATGAATTAGAATGCATAAGGAAGCAGGAATGGTTGAATAACAGGTACTATCCCGGTATTTGTTTCCAATGGCATAAAAATGAAGAAATACCTTCATTTTTCTGACGCCTATAACACAAAGCAAAATTGTTACAAAACGACTGATATGAAAACCGCTTTCAGTATCTGTGAACCGCTACAAAGATAACGTTGGTTGTTTAGCGGCGCTGTTTTAACTTACGAGTATGCTCTGTACTGTAGATTGAGATAGGAAGGTTACTGTTGAGCTATGAATACATTTTTTTATTGTTAGTGGGGTGGGACTAAGTCCCTTGTACTACAGCCACTTCTGGCCTATTGTACCAGCCCCAGATGATAGGTGAGGGTGATTGTGGAGCAATTGGTGGAATGAAGATTGGCAGGTGAACCGAAGTACTCGGAGAAAACCTGCCCCAGTGCCACCTTGTCCACCACAAATCCCACTTGACCAGACCTGGGATCGAACCCGAGCCGCCGCGGTGGGAAGCCAGCGACTAACCGCTTGAGCTATGGCGAGGCCTCATGATGAATACATACAAACATCTGAAGAAGCGGTCATCACCCTCTTTAAGGCCGCACTATCCTGGCATTCGCCTGGAGAGCCGGACGAAAACCACGAGAAACTATAGTTCGCATAACAGGTAACCCGGCTGAGATTCGAGCCGGATAACTTCAGAAGACAAGTCTAGAACGTTCCCGTTACCCTGACCTCATCGATAAGAGGAAATGTATGTAGCGTTGTTCTGTTGCAGCTTTTATATAAATGGAAGTCTGTATACATCTCCGTTAATGAAAGGTGCCTTGAAGAGTAACTATATACTTTTTTTTCTTGGCACTACAGCCCCAGTGGCCCTAGGCCTACCTCCATGTACTTCTCCGTTCACAATTATATGCTTTAGTGGTCCATATTGTCCATGTCAGATCAAAACACAGTTTGGTCAGCACATGTCACTGGAGAGTCGGGATTGAAAATTTATTGAAAATACATTAAGTTACATTAAGGTACGCGGGTTCAAACCCGGCGGAGGTCGTGGAATTTTTAAGGGCGGAAAAAATTCGGGAACAAGTCCTCCGGGAGGGACTTTAAGCCATGGGTCCCGTGTCGTAGATTTACTGCACGTAAAAGAACCCCATGTCTCTAGGAGACCTCTGAGCTAAATTAGGCAAATTTTCCCGCCCAAGTAGTTTCTAATGCCTCCGGTAGGTGGGGAAAGTATTAGGTACCACTGCCAGATGAGGATCGACCTCGCTGACAGAAAGGGACTAATTATCAGTTACCAGTAGAGGGCCGACCTCGCTGGCAGAAAGGGGCTGATAACGGGCACCAGTAACGGTAGGGTATGGGGACAGTAGAAATTAAAGGGGGATGCACAATGGACCAATAACTGCTCTAAGTGCATGGGGAAACCCACCTCCTCCAACAATGAATGAATGAATGAAGTTGTGCATTTGTACCGAAGGACCCATAGACACATGTGAATCGCGCCTGAAATGTAGTTAGGAGGCTGAAGGGGTGTACCCGAAGCAAAATATCGCGGCATCACGGCTAGTTCTTTAAGGAGCTGGGATAGCTCAGTCTATAGCGACTGGCTGCGGGCTGGATGAACGAGTGGTCCACCCAGTCTACTATCCAATGAGTACCGCGGACGTGAAGTACCACCTAGTGCCGAGGTCAAGAAAATATGGATGTATAGATCTATTCCCCCATACGTCTTCATGGCGTGATGCTTAATTATTTAAGCACATGGACAACTTTACCTTTTTGCCTTACCTATACCTTAAGTCAGTTGTTTAGTTTGATGTGAACCGTTTTGTACTTAATGTAAGTGAATGAACCGCCCATGTGTGCGTGGCTTGTGTTTCATTGGATATTTACCTATTTCATGAAATAACTGCTCGTATGTGTACCTAGTGTATAATGTTTGAGTTGTGCACGCGATACACTCGACACTCACAGATTTGTTGAGGTCATTACGTTACGTTTATGCGTCACCACCTGCTGAACCCTGTTCGGTGTTGAATTGCGTTTCCTGTCTGCGTATGGTGTAGTCTTGTGAGCTTGAGTCAGTATATCAGATTTGAGGCTGTCACTGTGGTGAATATGAAGATTATTGTTGTCTGGGATATGAGAAGTTTCCCGGCGTCTCGGGAGGCACAGCACCATTTTCAGAATAGACATAAGCCAAGCAAGAAAGCAGTCTGCTTGCTGGGCACCATGAAGGTGGAGGAACACATTCCTTCGGTGAACCTCCAGACTGCAAGGAGTGACATCTCATAAAATTGTACTCTTCAGTCTAAGCTTGATATAGTTCATCATGCGGGTTCGAGGTTCTCATGGCTGCGAGGAGGCAAGTCGAATTTGTCTTCTTCCGGCGTATGCCGTAATGTACCAACGTGTAGGAGGAACGTGTTGTCTTCATCTTCAGGGTAACTCGTTCTAAACGTCAGTATATGCCGAAGTACACTGCGTCATATCCGAGAAGACCTAATATGTAACATTTAAATATTGGATTTATTCTTTAATGTGCGGCCATTTTGATTCAAACAGTCCATGACGATGGCGCGTTTATGAAATTCAGAATTTAAATTGTGGCTGAAGTAAGGACAGCTGTTTGCTGCCGACTTATCGTCTTTTCACTTTCGACTGCAGACGTTAAACCGTAGTCTTCTTGTCTTTGATCTGTCACCGACAGTATTAACGATGGAGTGGTAGGATCTCCAGCTGACTGCGTACTGTAGGTTCCGGTTTCCATTTTCGTCCTGAAAGCCAGCCATCTTGATTAATGCCCTTCGCGGTGTTCTCTAGTCAATGGTCCGAAGCCTTTCAGTGCTTGTGATGTGTGTTTTATTTTTGAGACTCGGTTTAATTAAAATGAAGCTTTGAAATTCTAATAAAAGTAAACAAGTTCTTAGCCAACTTTCCTTATTTAAAAAAAATAAAAGCAGGCTTATTAGATGGTTGGAGAAAACTGCATAATGAGGAGCTTCATAACTTTTACTCTTCTCCAGGTATAATTAGAATGAAAGAGTCAAGGAGGATGAGGTGGGCAGGGGATGTAGCACGAATGGGGGAGGAAATGAATGCGTATAGGATATTGGTGGGAAAGCCAGAAGTGAAGAGACCACTGAGAAAACCAAGGCGTAGGTGGGTGGATAATACTAAAATGGATCTTAGAGAGACAAGCTGGAATGGTATGGATTAGATTGATCTGGCTCAGGATACGGACGAGTGGAGGGCTCTTGTGAACACGGTAATGGATCTTCGGGTTCCATAAAATGCTGGGAAATTCTTGAATAGCAGCAAAATTGGCCACTCCTCAAGAAGGGCTCAGCTCCATGAGTAAGTAAGTAGGACTTATTAGATCACCTTGCTTTCTGTGTCCCCCCCGTCAATTTTTGAATGCCTGACCCAATCTTTCTGAAACTTGATATGTAATATATCACGACACCCGAGCCCATATCTATGGCATACTTCATAAACCCCTCCCACCAGTCTACGTGACGGTACGTGTATCCCCATTATAGTTGCTAGGCAACGGCTCTGTAGACACGTTCCCGCTGCAACGAATACACGCAACTATAGAAGAACTGGAGGTGTTTTCTATACGGTCCATATCGTATCAAACGAGAGTCTGTGGGTCTGTCCGTGTATTCTATCATTGCTAGGCAAAGCCCGCGCCAACGAGGAATTGTTGAAGGTGTCGTTTTCTGTGCTGTCCGTGTGGCAACACAGGACAGTAGGCGATTAGTTCTTCCCAGAATTTCATATTTAGTTTTAATATTTTATTTTATACGGTTGTTCTTTTCAGAGCGTCGCGATGCATTTGGTGGATGCTCTGGCACGCCTGTTGAGAGCCTTTGCTGTGATAATTCCGGGGAAGTTACAGAATAATGTGTTAAAGTAGGCCACGATCGCAGTGGCTATATGAACTTCCATGTGGCTTCGTGGTATTTTACGTGTAGATGCATTTTTCTTTTCCAATTTACGCTTTTCGTCGGGGCACGCAGTAGCGTAGTTGGTTGAGTGACTATACTACAAGCCGGAAGGTCGCGGGTTCGAGTCCCGATGAGAGCATTGGATTGTTTTCAGTTTACTTAATCCATCCAGCCGCATTGTGGCCCTGGGATTGACTCAGCCTCAAACGGAAATGAGTACCAGCAATTTTCCTGGAGGTAAATGGCGGCAGGCGCGTAAAGCTGACAGCCTCACCGCCATCTATGAGCCGATTGTCTAGATAATGTTGGTGCCTCGACGTCTCACAACCCAGTGGGTCTTCACGGCCTGTTACAGGGATAGCTTTACTTTTCTACGTTCACCTCCATTTGAATGACAGTACTTCCCCCTCGCACGTAATGCGGGTGAAGTTCACTGTGATATTTGAGTTCGTGCGGCTGAGACAATGAATTAGTTCTGGTACGTAACGCCGTATAGTCCGGTAAATATTTATATATGTTTCGGAAGAACTTCTTCCATCTTGGGGGTAGAGTAGGCCTCACGTTCTTCCGAACCGTCGGTAAATATCAGACTACACGGAGTCACATCGTAGAAGACAATCTTTTAAAAGAACTGGGATATAACGCTGTGTAGTCCGTTGAAAGTCAACCAACGTTTTCGAAGGAATATGTCGCCTCTTTCTTCAGGGTCGAAGAATAAGCCAAGCAAGAAAGTATCGTGAAGCAGAGCTGCTTGCTTCCTGCTTATTCGTCGACCATGAAGATGGAGGCGGCGTGTTCCTCCGAAAAAGTCAGTTGATTTTCAGCGTACTGTGCAATTTCGATACTGACGGCGTCGTTAAGTAACAAACAGTTAAAACATAAAGTTGTAGTTGAAGCTCCAAACCTGATATTTGTAATCTGCATGTCCAGTGCACCACGTGTAGGCCTCGTGGTCGTGACTCTGTCGGTTCCCACACAGCTGAAGAACACTTCTCGCGTGCTTGTGACTTTCCTCGCACCGGGGACGCCAATTCCACACCGCGCCGCAGAACAGAGATCACGCAACTGTCAGTGAAGGCGCGGATTTTATGAACTAACTCTCCCACTTGTCCCCACTCGAGAACATCAGCGGCACAGGTTTTCTGCATTGCTAAGCAGGCTGCCGCTGGTTAGACGTGCTTTGGGGCAGCGGCGGGCCATGGTAAACAGCTGAACCAGCGTGTAGGATTCGAGGATCCCACAGCGGTGGTTATGAAGAGGTATAATCTTCTGGGATATAACGCTGTGTAGTCCATTGAAAGCCAACCCACGCGTCAACTTCACCACCTGCTTCACGCTTGTTTTTTGCTCGGCTAATTCTTCGACCGTGAGGATGAAGGCGACATGTCCTTCCGTAACGTCGGTTGACTTTCAAAGGACTACACGGCGTTATGTCTCAGGAGGTAGAACTCTTCAGCTAAACCAGTGGTTCCCAAAATTCTTAATATGACGACAAACCCTTTTACCCTCCGCTGAGTTTTTTCTTTCGAAATAGCTGTAACCGTACTCTCATATTTATATTATTGCTTATGATCAGCACACTCGGATTTAGTGCCACGCTAAAACTGCGAGTGAAAATCTCAAGTTTGAATATGAATATGCTGCAGTGTGTTCGTTATTTGGTGACGTATAGTGCCGAAAATTATTTAAATGTAATCTTTCAGTCCACACTGATATGTTAGGTTTTTGGACTTTATCCATAGTCCTGGTTTTTTTAAGATAACAAATAAAAACACGACGTTTCGGAAACTGGATCTGTTTCCGTCCTCAGGTGAAGGAAAACACCTATTCAGTTGGGTCCGTTAGAAAGAGCTAGCCTCAATCAATTTGTTATCTTAAAGAAACCAGGACGATGGATAAAGTCCAAAAACCTAACATATCAGTGTTATACACCATCGTCAGAATCCTATAGTAACTACTTGTAATCTTTCAGATTTTTTAAGTATCTGGTTAACTCTGACGTATGCAAAGTTGTCCCTGTGCTTATGTAATTAAGCACTACGCCATAAAGGCGTATGACGGAGTGGATGTATAGATCCGTATTATCTTGACCCCGGCACTAGTTGGAGGTGAATCTTCAGCTTCACGCACCGGCCGCTTTACCCCTTGGAAAAGAGCCCCCGGTACCCATTTGACAGGAGGTTGGGTGGACCCTAGAGCCGTTCTGAACGACATGGAGAAGTGAAAATTCTTGACCCCACCGGGACTCGAACTCCGACCTCTCGGTCGCCCAGCCCGTAGCCAGTCGTTATACCGGCCACGCTACCCCGGCTCACGATAGGATCAAATGTAGGAGAATTATTTCAGATGAGTTTGGCGCTAAGAATTGATTTTGTTGTATAACCCCCCCCCCACTGGGAACCACTGATAGAACATAATACGAGATAGGCAATCTGAAGGCAGTGACTGTGAAAGTGAGGCGTGACGTCGTGTAGTCTTGTAGATAGGCACCAACGTTCCGGAGCCGTCTGCTGCCTCCTTTTTGCTTGTGCAAGACGCAGAATAGGAGACTCTTCTGCCTTGAAGATAAAGGCAGGTTCCCTCCGTCTGAACGCTCGTCCTAGAAGACAGTTGTCATCTGAACATATGCTAAGCAACTTCAGTTGGCACTTCCATATTTGTGCTCTTATTTTTGTGATGTTATTTCAATGAACTGCATAAAATAGACGCATAGTGGGAAGATTGTGTCAATCCGTCCACGTGTTTCATCTCCGGAACTACCGATCAAATTTCGATGAAATTTGCTATTGAGCAATCTGTATCGGACCTTGTCCGCAGAATTTAGTTTCGTTTCGTACCGGTTCAGTATGATTTAATCCCAACTTTGTACGAAGTTCAAATCAGTTCGTGAGTTCTCTCAAAACTGGCTTAATCGCCAGGTAACCTCGCGTAAGATGTATCCGAGAACTCGTTAGGTTCTGCATCTTGTGTTGTGTTGGTGTGTGGTTAACGAAATGCAACGAAACAATACATTATGTTAATTTTGTTAAACTTAGATCTTGGGTTTACACCTGATGGCTTTCCTGTAGTGTTATGTCACAGAGGTAATGATTTACGCAAATTTGGATTTTTGCTGTTGTGTCTTGACTCTAACGAAAAATAAGTTCTTAAAGTTAGCACCCATGTATCCGCTTTTGGGGTTAATGTAGCAGTTACTGAAAGAGTAAATTTTAATGAAGGAGGAATTAATCATGGTTTAATCAGGTACTGTCACAGCATCTATGTGGTGAAACTGATGTAATATATAAGAAACCATAGCGCCTATTTGAACTACGTGCTCCCCAGGCACCACGAATATTCTCTATTTGAGGCAACCAGTCTTTGTAAAAGTTGTATTCGTAAATGCTATAAAAATTGCAACAAATCTTTGAGTACAGTCCCATGTTATTACAGTTACTAAGGATCACGAATTTAGAAGATGTGTTTACATCCAGTTATCATCCTGGATGTTTTACTGAAGCGATATTGAAGACGGAAATTAAGTGGAAGGTGCACCAACATATTTCTCGGAGTTTCTCCTCTGAAAGGAAACCACAAATTGTTATGGCGGTTGAATAAACTTCCAGACTTTCCCTTTGGAAGCCTGTTTAATGGAATATTATAGATGAACTTTTTGAAACCACTAGGGGATGCAGATGAGGTACTGGTTGAGCACTTAGAAGGAACTTGATTGTATTTGAGATAAAAGGTCTGAGTTAAGTAACAGACAAACAAGCCAGAGAAATAGTCACTTTTAATAAGATATCTGACTGTGATAAATTGTAATGGTTTATAAAGTTTTGATGAATGAACCAGCCAGCCGCTAGTTAAGTATGTCTCTGGTCGTAGAATCCAAGGTTCTACATTTGTAATACCAAAACCCAGAAGCGGATATGATCCTGACTAGCTCCATCCACCTACCGTCCTTTCACTCTGCTGCGATATAATTTCCGTGGACTTCATGTGACACTTTCCTGAACGCTTCCCCTCCAGGGTCATTACATATATTTCCTCTAACCCATCGGGGCCATTTGCCCCGCCCATTCTAACCTCCATGATTTCGCTCTTATAGCAAATACAGTATCGTAAACCCTCGTTATAACACCTTGATATAACGGACAAATCTGGCTTTGAAATTGCGGATTTTTTGGAGATGTCGAGGCATTAAGAAGCTTTTGTAATTAGAAAAAAGAAACTCCGTGATTTTAGTCCGCAAGCGAACTATATCGACCGAGCGACCGCCGCTTGTCGGCGAAGTTCAGTGCCAAATCTTGCGGATAGAAGGTGTCGCGTGGCAAGCGCAACAAATCCCCACGGTCGTTAATTTCGGTTTTCTAGACCGGAGCCTCTGTTTCCTTGAAATAGCTCCACAATTATCACGAGGCTGAGTGGACCCCGTTTCAGACCACTACTTCGAAAAAAATCTGGTAGCGCCGGGAATCGAACCCTGACCTCTGGATCTGTAGCCAGGAACGCTGACCACTATGCCACAGAAGTGGTCATTTTGTAATTAGAAAACTATTAAAATAAAGAACAATATAAAAGCCCTTATGTAATCACATAGTGTGTTTCTTTGTTTATTGCGTGTATTGGTTATGTATCCTATGGTGTACGTCCGTGAATACTCTTTATTCGGTGATAACGGACACTGTCCCACGTAGTTCCGTTATAACGAGGGTTTACTATAGTAGGTAGGTATTATCTTTCACAGTGCCTGTCGTCTTAGGTGTATTTAAATTACACAACGTTTCGGAAGCTGGATCTGCTTCCATCATCAGGTGCAAGTGGGGAGAAGGCTGATACGCAGTTGTGCTCGTTAGAAGGAACTATCCTCGATCGGCGCTCAGCAGAATGATCGAGATGACCCCCCCCCGTATGACCGAAATGGATCCAGCTTCCGAAACGTGTATTTTGAACATGCTCTAGACCAGCCGTGTCAAACATGCGGCCCCCATAGCCATAAAGTACGGCCCCTCAACTTTTAGATCTAATTGATATTAAGATCAATATTAAAACTTTAGTAGAAATGTTTTTTGTAAAGACAATTTTCCAAGAGACCAGAAGAAAAGAAGTATCACGCAGACATAAATTAGCAGCCTGCAGGAAATTCAGTGTTTTGCTATTTCTAACATAATTTCTTGTGCAATCTCTCTTTTCACATATTGAAAAGCTGTTTGATACTTGTCAAAAATGGCATTTTCTTGCTTTTTAAAACTAAGATATGTGACTTTAGGTACTTATATTGAAATTATTCCTAAATAATAAATAGAATTAAATTTCCTTGTATCAAAATCTAATGTATATTTCTGTTTTGAAGTGCGGCCCTGGACTATTACATATAGGGCTGAGGTGGCCCTCTGTACAAGTTGAGTTTGACATGCCTGCTCTAGACGGTAGTCAGTGTCTGACACAGTATCTATATAATGAATAGACCATTGTGATATACGTTTGGGGGATTATTCGCAACTTACGTTTGGAGTAAGGAAGTATATTTCAGAACGAAACAGATCAACTGGAAAAATATTGTATTATATATTCTGAGTTTAGTCTTTTTGGGATGTGGGCGAGATAGTGGAAGCTTTCGAACTGCGTTCTAACAAGCAATTTCTAGAGTTATTTTTCTAGTTCTATGATGAGTGTCACTTTTATGTTTTATTGTTGTTCCCACATCCTTGACTTAAAAAAATGTAATAACAGATGGTTTCATTGCGTGTTCGTATATTTAGTTTTGACTCTCCATACTTCTGTACAGTTGTCCAGAAATGCGGGCACCGTAATGCAACGGGACGGTTAATGTAAACCAGTGGCTAGTGTAAAAACATGTGTGCGAAGTGTACTGCTAATCTAATGGTAGGTGCAGATGTACATCTGCACTAGAAGAATCATTGAGGAACAAGCGCTTATCAAGCAAGATATATGTATGTATAATGTGAAAGACAGCGAGAATAATCCAAGGTGTAGAAAACGGTAGGGCCAGTGTTCAGTATCAGTCTACAGTTTAAGTAACAACA